CAATATTCAAATCGCGTGAATAAGAATCGCAACACGCAAATACGAAAAGCTATGTTTGATATTAAAATCGTGTGAATAAGAATCGAGATATTAGCAGATTTCAGGCTTGGGACCTCTAAAAAGCTTGTCAGAAGCAGCGTCATTTGAACTATGAAAATCGGATCTATCTGGAGGGCGGGTAAAAAATTCGGAAAATCTTATCTGCTGCTTGTAAAAGGGGAGAAAATAGGTAAAATAAGTAAAAATGAGAAAGGATTGGTAGCTATGTAGTTTGAATTTTCTGTTTCTCTTTGAAAATCGGATAATTTTCTGAAAAAGCGGAATACTTATAAAAAAAAAAAAAAAATTGAAATTTTTAGAAAATTTGAATTTTTGATAAAAAAAAGCTGAAATTTAAGAGATAAAAGTGAAAAAAGCGGAAAAGTGAAAAAAGTGAAAAAATTGAAATTTTTAAAAAATTTGAATTTTTGATAAAAAAAAGCTGAAATTTAAGAGATAAAAGTGAAAAAAGCGGAAATCCGCTAAAAAACGGAAAAATCGCATCCCTGATAATTTGAGATAAGTGTACATGATTTAGCAGCTACTTCAACAAGCTAAATAACATCAAATGACAAATAATCTTTAATTTTTTTTTTAATAAGCTGCACATTTGAGCAGTTGGATAAAAAGTGTTCTTATTAAGTAAGAATAAAAAAGACAACCATCACGATTGTGAGCAAATATTTAACTTGCAATCACAATGAATCATTCAAAACTGCACCATATTCAATGAGTAATGCACAAATTACATAATTATGAATTGCAATACAGCAATAGTAAATAAAACATTTTAAGTATTGCCACTTTATTAGTAATTTTCTTGCAATGTGCACAGCGTCTTTTGACAAAGGGTGACACAGCGAGAGAGAACCTTTAACAGTTACAAAAAAATTTTCAAAATACCCAATAATAATTTCTTGCTCTCCTATTCTACCAAATAAATTAAGGTTAATTGTACTTAAAAAATAAAAAAAAATTCTTTTAATCATGATTTTGCGTTTAAATTTCTAACAATATAAAACTTGGTTATACTTGAGCCTGCTTTTTAGCTTCTTCATAGCCGATCATATCAACTTCTAAACCTTTTTCTTCAACCATTAACTGTGTAAGATCAACTGGAAATCCATATGTATCATATAATCTCCATGCAACATCCCCTACAGATATATACATATAAAATATAGTGACAATGAATTTAAATCATATACACTTGTTGAATACCGTTCTTTGTACAGGTAAAATAAAAAAAAATCAGTACTGAACAACACTATGAAATCAGGCACAAAACTGAAAGGCATATACCAACACAATTGAAGAACTTAGTGGAAGAACCCAGTAAATGGCCTTTTAAAGGGATTTTATGAATCAGTGAAAATAAAGTGGTAGCAGAAATATGGGTATGTTTAATGTAGGAGAATTTTTTTTCTTCTCCACTTCTAATATAACTAATAAACATTGGTTTTCAGTATCCTTGCATTAGTTTTTTTTTCAAATTAGACAGTGGTAAATAAAATAAAACAAAGAATTATAAGTCCCACCTTCTAATAAATCAGTAATAAAATGCAAAACACTTTTTTTCATCTTACCTTTATTATAGCCTAATTGAATGTCATTTACCTAATTTTTTCACTTAACTCATCAATTAATAAAACTAAAATGATTTAATTTTTTTTATTTATTATAATTATTTGTTGTCCTTTATGGGGACTTTACGTTACTACATTAAGCAAAACACGTTTTTTTGTAGCTCATCCTATCCGAATAGAGAGTAACTGTATTAGCAATACTTAGCATGACGATATTATTCGCTTTTAACACCTGATAGTTAAAATTTTCACCATTGAGTAATTTTCTCTGGTACACATCCCTTTCAAGGGACCGTGAGAAATCTCCTTCCACAGTATCTGTTTTAAAACTGCTTACTTTTGGAGCAATTTAAATAATCACCAAATATATCAGAAAAATACTTTATAATATTATAGTTGTTACTTAATGCATAAACATTTGAGTTCAGAGGGAAATGAAATACATTTAACAGTGACACCTAACTAAAGCTCAAATTCTAAAAACAAATAGAATTCTTATAAGACCTTAATAAGGATTTTGAGTATGACCATTTCCATATCTGACCTTTTATTTATCGTTTAAAATAGTTATAAGTAGTGGTGGAATACTTATAAGTAGTTTTCTACAGTTCCCATTAACTTTTTTTTCCACTTACTTTGCTATGTTAATATTTATATCAATAATAACACGGCGAATAATATTATCCCAAAAACGAATAAGCATTTTTTCGACATTAACTTTGCTTTTAATAGATAATTTATTTATTTTTAGTTTTTCTAAATGAATGAATACCATTATTTTATTAATTTTGTTTTTCAGTACAGTGAAATCTCTAGTTACGCCCACTCCTACTGATAAACCATTATGCAACTCCAATTTTTCAAAATTTAAAAGAAAATTACTTAAAAATTTTAAGAATGAACTTTTTGCTTTATCTATAACTAAAAATATTAAACTATTTCACTACCAATGAATCTATCCTTCTCTGGTCCTAAAACTGTTCCATGAAATTATAAAAATAAATAAAAAAATAAAAAAAGGCAGTCATACTCAAATTTGGTTCTGAGACCTCACTTTTCCTCACTAGCTACCTCACATTGGAAAATTAATTAGCTACCTCACATCACTTACTTACCTTACTTTGGAAAATAAATTAGCTACCCCACTTTTCTTGACTGACACAGGAATATATTACGTTTTCACCTTCAAATATCAAAAAAAAATAATAATAATAATATTTTTTTTTTCTTTTCAGGCTTAAAATTTTTTTTCTATAAATGAAGAGTTATATTTTGCAAGACAAACTTACAAAATTAATTTAATAAATTAAATTAATTTTAATAATTACAGTCAATAACATTTTACTAATAATGTACATTTTAAATGACAATAGACCAGATATGTTTACTTAAAACTAGTAGTAGTTTTATTTCTTGAAATCAATGCCAATTTAGTGAAATTACAAGTTAAGCATAATGCTATGAAATTTTAATTCTAGCATGCATAACTTCCATGCAAAAGGAAGAAAATTACCTGGCAGAACATTTGAAGTAAGTTTCTTGATGGCTCGTTCCAACAACAATCTCCCTCGATTTAGTGTCTTTAGAAATTGTGCTTCTTCATCATTAATTATATCCATAATCTGTAATAGTAATCATTAGGAAGACGAAAATACAATAGGTAAAATTGCAAATGATGAAAATAAAATAAATAAAACAATCTGATTTCCTTTTTTTTAAATTTCATCTACTTTCTAAAGGCAAACCAAACTCTTTCATAAAAAGAGAGATATAATGACGTAGACTAATATAAAATATTAGAGTTCTAAAAAGGAATAAAATTACGCATAGTTTATGCTTTGCACAATATATATATATATATATATATATATTGTGCAAAGCATAAACTATGCGTAATTTTATTCCTTTTTAGAACTCTAATATTTTATATTAGTCTACGTCATTATATCTCTCTTTTTATGAAAGAGTTTGGTTTGCCTTTAGAAAGTAGATGAAATTTAAAAAAAAGGAAATCAGATTGTTTTATTTATTTTATTTTCATCATTTGCAATTTTACCTATTGTATTTTCGTCTTCCTAATGATTACTATTACAGATTATGNAAAAACGGCTTTTTGTAGCGATTCAGAAAACCGGAAAAATCAGTTATCCGGAATAGCGATGGTCCCGATCGTTCCGGATAATCGGTTCCCTACTGTATATATATATATAAAAATTACAGTTGCCAACATAGATAATTAAAAATCCAATAAATTTTAGGAAATATAAATTTCATTATAACTGTTGCATAATGTACTAAATATTTTACACATAGGAAAATGTAGGGATTTTTATAGTCATCAAAAAGAAAAATATTTTCCAGTAATGATTGGCATTAAATATGTTTGAAATGCGTATTATGTTTACTCGTAATTTTGAATAGTAATAGGCATTTAATTGATAAAAAATATATATATTTTTTAAATTAATAAAAAAGGGAGTTCTGAATAAACTGAATATTTTAGAACAAATTTTTTTTTAAAAAACTGATTTCGATAAATATAGCCTGCTTCATTATATATTAGTAATACTTATTTAAATACTCAAACAAGCAGTAAACCTTGCAAAAATTCTTTTTCAATAGGGGTTTCTTAATGAAATTTTTTCAATTTTAGGAAATTTTCTAAAATGTACAAAATCCTGGAGAATTTTTACTAAACCAGTAGAAACTAGAAAAACCAAGTTGTCTATTGAAAAATCCAGTAGAGTTGGAAGCTTTGATAAAGCAGGAGAGAATAAGAAGAAATTGATTCATAAAAATTAGAGAAAATTAAAAATTTATATAACAATTTAAAACCACAACTTTTTCAATGCAACACTATATACAAATTCATAAAATTAAACATCAAACACATCTAAGAAGAGTACATAAATGATACAGAATATTCCCAGAATGAATTAAACATAAATTAGAAGGAAGAAATGAATATTAGGCAATTTTAAAAGCAAAGAGAACGAAACAAAATAAAATTACTTTTTCAATGAGGATGAAAATGTATGCATCATAAAATATAATTGTCATCATTGCTCATAAGAATGTGAACAGCATGTAGTTAAAATCATATGCAAAAAAAAAAAAAAAAAAAAAAAAATCATATATTTTGCTTTTATAAATTTCATCACACCTCATTTATATGCGAGCAACAAAAAATTACCAACTCTATGCCACAATCAAGAACATAAAGAAAATATACATGACACTTTTAAAGATGTGAACAGAAAGAAGAAAAAAAATTAAAGGGAAAATGTGGCAAAATACCAGATAGAAATATAAAAGCATCATATTTTGAGAAATTTCATCACAACTCAATATGAATGTGAACAGCAAACTAAACTAATCATGTGTAAAATGCTAAAAAAGAAGAGCATAAAAAGAGGGGAAAAAACATACTTTCTTAAATTTACCACACTTTATTACTGATTTGAGCAGCAATCAAAAGGAGAATTATCTTCGAAAGGTAGCAAAATATTAAATAGAAATAATAAAGCATCATATTTTTAGAAATTTCATCACATTTGATTATGAATGTGAACAGCAAACAAAATCAATCATGCTCGAACTGCAGGGAAGGGTACAAAAGCAATTTTTTTTAAAAATTCTATCACACTTCATTAAGGATGTGAACAAAATATATATGTATAAATAAACATGCAGAAATCAAGGCGAAAAAAATGGCATAATCATAGATAAAATGCATCATACTTTTAGGATTTCATCAAATCTAGTTATGAATGTGAACAGCAAAATAAACTAATCATATGCGAACTGTAGAAAATGCCAATTATTAAAAGGGAATTTTAAAAAATTCATACTTTTATAAATTTGAATAGAAAAAAAAAATCCCATGCAACAATCAAAGTTGTGAAAGATAAAAAAAAAAATGTTAGAAAACAAAGCAAAAAAATAAAATATATAATATAAAGAAATAAAGTTAGAAATAATTTTATAATACCAAAACACCTTGTTATGAATGAGAACAACAAATATAACTAATCATTTACAAACAGTAGGTAAAATCAAAATATATGAGGAAAAGAAAGCATTATACTTTCACACTTTATTAATAACGTGAGTAGAAGATTATTTGCTTTGTGCAAAAAGGTTTAATGGTTTTAATATTAAAAACCATACAATAATGCCCTTGGATTTAATGAGGACCTTTAATTAACTTCTTAACCATTCTTTTTCTTAATTTAAAATGACAGAAGGAAGGCTGCTATTCATTCTGATAAATTTTATAAGTTTTAAAAGTACTTTACACTAATTTTAGTTCGAATTGGTAGATAAAGAATGAAGAGAAACAATGTGATGTCTTTCAGCTGTTTTATTATAAGCCATAACAAGTAAAGTTATGGTGCTATACTGTAGCAACATTTAAGTAAAACAATGGATGGTAGCTGAAATTTCAAACAGAGGATGTTAAATGAATTCCCATTTCTCAGATTCTATCTATATAGCTCAAACATGATGCAGAATATATCGGATCATGCCAACAAGATTCAGAGGAAATACTGGCAATCCTTGGGAAAGTTAAAAAAGAAATTCAATAAAATCCTCAAATCAAATAAAATCAATTCAATAAAATCCTGATAGTTTTTAATATAATGCAAAGCAAAAATTAGTACTAATTTGAGTTTTCAATTCCTGGGATGTCTACTTAAAAAATGAGTATCATCACAAAGCTTTTTACAGATAATAATTTAATATAATACAGATTTTATAAAAGCTTTTAATCTGATCGCTAACATTTTGAAAAATACCAGAAAGAAAAAAAAGAGGATAAGGCTTTAATAAAAAATTTTCAAAACATAAAGGTGGTCATGAGTGGGTCGTTGTTTGTGAAAACATATTTGTCGCGAATAATCAACTGCTGAGGAAAGACAAAATTAAACAAAACCTCTCAATCCATTTGATTCAGTGTAAGTAAAAAGCAACATAAAGTAACCCAATTGTAAACATTTTCTAGTTCATATTTGTAGAGCTCAGTTTCCATTTCTGATGCTACTGGCTAACTTAGGTTTAACAAGCTCCCATAAAGTTTCCACAGGTTTAATGAACAAATTACTTTGGTCTCCATGTTCTCGTTAATAATCAGCCTGGGCGTACTTTTATAAATTTTCTTGTACTACATTAAAAAGGTTGTCAGGATACAAATACTTCCCACACATAGAGAACAAAATATTATACAGAAGAAGAAAAAAAATCATATTTTTTTTTAAGTCTCATCACATCTTATTAAGAATGTGAACAGCAAACTAGACTAATCATATGTAAACAGCAGAAAAAGCCAAAAATTAAGGGAGAGGAACATTTAATCTTGTTTAAGAATTAAAGAAAACAGATTGATAAAAAAAGGAGCATCATACTTTCAGAAATTTCATCACATATTATTAAGAATGTGAACAGCAAATTAATATTAATCATATGAAAATAATAAGAAAAAAATTTCATTGGAAAAAAAAGAAAAAAAAAATCATACTTTTACAAATTTCATCACATATCAATAAGAATGTGAACAGCAAACTAATATTAATCATATGAAAACAATAAGAAAAAAAATGTCATTGGAAAAAAAAAACTCATACTTTTACAAATTTCATCACATATCAATAAGAATTTGAACAGCAAATTAATACTAATCATATGAAAACAATAAGGAGAAAAAAAATACACTTTTACAAATTTAATATCACACTTTAATAAGAATGTGAACAGCAAATCAATACTAATCATATGCAAATAATAAAGAAAGAAAAAAATGTTATTGGAAAAATATATACTTAATACTTTTACATATTTCATCACACATCAATTAGAAAGTGAACAGCAAATTAATACTAATCATATGGAAACAATAAGAAAAAATTTTATCGAAAACAAAAACATCATACTTTACAGATTTAATCACGCATCAATAAGAATGTGAACAGCAAACTAAATTAATCATATGCAACAGACTAAAAAAGTCAAGCATTATATAGAAAATTATCAGCCTTAGATAAATTTCATCACATCTTATTAAGAATGTGAACAGCAAATTAATCATCATAAAAAAAGAAAAAAAAAAGTAGAATAAATACTATTATAGTGAAAAGAAAAAACATTTTTTAGTTATTACATGTCAAATCAAATAATTATCTTGATTTGTAAATGCTTTTAAATTTTGTTGAAATAATTAAAGCAGGACACACAGAATAAAATAAGTAAATTTTAAGATTTTCACTTTTGAAATTGTTTAACAAAATATATATTAAAAATAAAAATTCCTATAAAAATTATAAAGTACAAATCACTTGAGTAAATTTTCACTGTTGCAAAACAGTGAAAATTCAAACACTGTTGCAAAACAAAGGGATTAAATTTTCTATATACATAACTTATAACAGCTTAATAGTATATTAGATTTTAAAACTAAATTTTAAATTAAAATATTTTTTGCCACATTTTTAAAATAGTTATCGACTGTAATTTGTAGTGCAATAGAAAGAATGCACACCTTTCTAAGTAGAAATGAACAATATGACATTTCTGTTGACGCTTTAGAGTAGTAATAATATATATACACATTTTATGAATTTTAGGGAAGGTATACTTTGAAATATTTAAGGTTAAATTCAATTATAATAAAGCTATAACATGTTGTTAGAAATTCATAAATGTAGGACCCTAAAAATTCTGTAAAGAAATATGGATGCTAGAAAATAAAAATAGAAAAAATCATTTCTTTATTTTAACTACAATTTTTTCATTTCTTACAGATTTCAACCATATTACATTATATCAACCATTATTAAAGTAAAGTTAGTCCAGAAGCTGAGCTATTCTTTAAAAATTTGTCTCTGTTACATAAAAATTCATAAAGACAAATTTATCAGGTAAATAAAATTTCTTGAAAAATGAAAAAGTAGATTTTGGTGATTAGGTAGGTAATTATAAATTGTGAATAACACACTTTGTGTGCTCATCATGCTGAGAATTATATAACTTACTGTTTGTGGATCTTTTGAAAGTTCAGGAAATATATCACCCTACAAAAACAAAAAAATAAACATTTCAAATAACAGTTCTTGATTCTTATAACATCAACTTATATTTATACATATAATTAAATACAGCTGTTAAAGTGAGAAAGATGAAAAGCTTGATTTTATTCGAGAAATTTTGTAATTCCTAATGCTGTTCACATTTCAGTGAATAGACTTTTTTCTTTCTTCTGCATTAATTCGTTGCGTTTGGTGGTGTTGATAACCTACATAAAAGATGCTTTCTCAGGTTGCCATTTTTAAAAAAATGAATTTAGACCTTTTATTTATTAAGATATGTAGAATTCAAAAACTTTACAAAATAAATTCAGGCTGCATTATTAGAAATGCCTGAAATTTTAATTTTAATAACTTAAGTTTTTTAAACAACTTTACAATTAAAACTGCTAACTCAGGCAGGGCATACATTGCAAAGATAGATAAGTCCCAGTATCACTGAGAATAATCTAAAAGATTTGTATCAACAAATAGTACTCCAAATGTCAATTTACATAACATTAACAAATATTTAAATCACTCACTAAAATGTTGATAACAACTGGTACAAGACTTGCAAACATCCCTGGTTTAGCAGATAACTTTTCAGATGCATATCGAACTGCACGCCTCAATATTCTTCTTAGAACATAACTAAAGAAAAGTACACTTTTAGAATATGCTCTAAAAGATAATAAATACATTGATGCTTTAACACAAATCATATACATTAACACAAATTACAAACTGAGATATACTGAAAACAAAATAAAACAATTACTGGCAATCTGTTTTTTCCCTTTGCTTCGAGCATAATAATAATTTTACTGTTGTACAGTAAGCTGAAAGAATTATATAAAAATGAATGTTATATGATTGCATTTTACTTGCTTACAGGGAATTTTCAAACTTATATCATAAAATAAGGCCATATAAATCATCCAGTGTCAGATTAAAAAAAAAAAAAAACATATACACAGTACAGAACTATAAAGAGTGGGATTAAAAAAGATAAAACCTATCATTTAAGTAAAACAACTTCATTTCTTTAATTTTAGTCATGGTATGATTGCTTATTCACTTTTGATAAAATGAATAAATCAATAAAAGGAAAAATAAATTAAGCAACAGTGACTGCAGAAAAAAACTATATTTACAGCATTAAATAGAATCACATTTTATACTGTTTCTTTCTGATTTTCTTAAGAGAATTTTTTTAGGTATCGAATGAATAAAAACTTTAGTTTTTTTTTATGAATAGTTGTTAGCTTTTTTTAAGATTAAATATTTATATTTAGGTTTTTTTTCTCCCCTAACCCATGCCAAAAATACAGCTAAGTTTTATTTGACTAAACAAATTTCTATACAAAAAATATTTATTCATGATTGTTTTCTAAAAAAAAAAATGTTGCTATTTGGTCACTGAATATTTATTATTTGGCCAAATCACTATTTGTTACACGTCTAAATTTTATGAGAATATTGTTTATAATTCATTTTTTATTTTACAAAATCATAACTATTATCTAAAATACACTTTAAATCAATAATATCACACCCTCGGCCTGTATTGTCAGGTCTGCCACCATCAGCTAGTGCCACAGTCAAAGTTCTAGCATGATCAGCTAATACTCTGTAAGCCATATCTATGCCAGTTACATCATCCGGTCCTACTTTACCTCCATAGGGGACAGCACCTGTGGACTGAAAAATGATACATTTAAATTGTACATTAAAACAGTTTAAGAATACACACATAGAATCTTTTCTCAGCAACAAATGTTTAGTAACTCATGCTCTTTTTTAAACTCAATCAACACACCAGATTCTTATCCAATTAAGAACTCAAACCAAAATCAGTTATTTGATTTCAGAGTTCAGTATTCCACTCATTTTTTTTTTTTTATCTTTTAAAGAAAAAAGTTTTTTTCCAAAGAAGAAACTAAACTTTTTAGTCTTCCTCTCAGACTATGACCGGACCAGGTCAATCTTAACATTTTCAATGTGGTTTACAATGTGGTCATGGCACTTTTGAAGGACTAGGTCTGTTCACAACATTGTATTGGTTAATAGAACATAATTGTTTTTTTCCTCCATAAAAATAAATTTGAGACATTTTAATGTTACATTTGAAGAGAAACTGAATTTTATTTTAAGTTATTTATAGGCAGGATTTAAATAGAACTAAGGTTGGAATATACCTTCTTTAAATATTTAGACACATCAAAATATTTTTTCTTAGGAATCTGGGACACATTTGGCAAGATTTTTTATGTTGTTAAAATTTATATTTTGATTTCAGCCTAAAAAACTTGTCACAATATCTATTTCGACATTAAGAAAGTGAAAAAATAAATAAATACCAAACAAAAATGTTAAACATTAAATCTCGACCATTATTACATGAACAGCAACACAAAATACAAAGCAATTAAAAAAATTGTGCCATTTCATAAAAAGGCTCATTATTATTTTTAATTTAAGTTTAAATGTAAATTACAATAAGATTCTGTATGTTATTTTTTCCATATAATGAACTAAAAAATAGAATGATAAACATGCATAATTTAGAGTAGCAAAATTTAAATACTTAATCAGTATTTAAGTAAATTAGGAACAGTATACTGATATGATTCAAAAATATTAACTTACTTGTTGAATTGATAAGAATATAGGTTGAAATAAATCTGTATCATAATTGGATGATTTATCTTGAATCACAGATACCAATCTTTCAAGACCCATTCCAGTATCAACATGCTTTTTAGGGAGTGGTTTCAAACTACCATCATTTTCTCTGAGAAATAAAAATACATATTTATTTATCGAACTTTAACAGCATTGATATAAAGATGAGTATTTATGTGAAAATCTATGAATTTACCTATTGAATTGAATGAACACAAGATTCCAAATTTCTAAGACATCAGGTACATCTGCATTTACTAAATGTGCAGCATCTCTTCCTCCAATTCTATCATAATGAATTTCTGAGCATGGTCCGCAGGGACCAGTTTCTCCCATTTCCCAAAAATTGTCTTTCATTGCAAAAGGTAAAATCCTTTCTTCTGGCAAGCTATATCAATTATGAATAGTCATACATACATATATATTAATTTTAAAATTTTTGTAACATATATATGTAATTACAAGAAGAAAAAAGTCTACTTTCTTTATGCACATTTTATTCAAAGATTATCGAAATATATTTGCAAATAGCTGGCAAGATTGAGTTATCAATACACAATAGACTTGTGTATGTACATAAATCTGCTATTGGTGATTAAATGGCCTGTGTGCAAATACCCACACCAAAATCAAACTAAATCAAGCATAAACATTAAACTTTGCTACATATTAGGTATACAATCTCAATAATGTGTGCATGTAAAAAATTTGAAATAGATACCATGAGCAGAAACCCTAGAAAAATAATNTATATATATATATAAAGTTAAAAAAAGAGCTGAATAAAGATGTAATTGAAAATTTCAAAAGCAAAGAGTGAAAAATGCAGATAAATCTGCTACAGGTGATTAAATGGCCTGTGAGAAAATACCCATATCAAAATGAAACTAAATCAAGCATAAACATTAACTTTATGAAAAATTAGGTAGTCTCAATAATGGGTGCAAGTAAAAAATTTGAAATAGATACCATGAGCAGAAACTATAGAAAAATAAGTCACATTAAGTTTGATGCTCAACTATGACAACCGACTCAAATTTGTTGCTAATAGATACCAAAGGAAACGATAATCATAATTAGATAACATAGATGTACGTGTGCACGGATACATTGGTGGTGATTCTCAAATTTTGCACACTTTTTTAATATTTATTATAAATATAAAAAAAAAGTATCCACACATGCAAAAAAATGCAGTTAGGTGAAAAAGAAAATATGAAGCACACAGCTTAATCATGATTTATGCAAGGTAGAAGAAAGTCAGTGTTTAGTTGTATGTAGGCTGCCACTTAAGCCCAAAGATTAGCGATCCCATGTGGTCGAGCCAACAATCAACTGATTTTTTCCAACTTAATTTGATGTGACTATCGTTTTACAACAAAAATAGACAATTGCGGTGACTTTTTAATGTACTTTTGATTGGAGTAAAAAAAACAAATGTTACTTAATATGATAATTAATATAATAAAAAATAAGATCAAAAGAAAAACTAAACATGCTGTCTGAATGTTACTTGACTAAAAAATGTAATTTTAAAAATAACTAAAATTACGAAAGAGAAAAATAAAATATGTGAGAAACAGAAACACAGCGATATTGGGTATTTAAATACCTACTAAACTAAACTCAGTGGCGCGACAGCCCATAGAGGGCCAAGGCCTACTGTGCCCATCTCAGTTTTCTTGACCTTGGGCTATGGGGTGCAGGAGCAGATGTTCCGGTCAGGTGGTCTGCCAAACGCGGAACCCCCAGTGTTTAGTTCCCAAGCATGCTTGGTACTCATTTATCGACCCACTGAAGGGGTTTAAATACCACAAATAAGAATTGCAATATTAGCAGATTTCGACACATCCAAAAAAATTTGCCACGCCGAAAGAATCAAATTGACGTAAGAATTGCATGTATGCAAACATTTTGTTAAAGAGATTTAAAGTTTTAAAACATAATATACAGTGGACATCAGCTTTGACAGTTACTATACTCACATACCCAACTTGTTTCCAGATTTCTTTACATTCATCATCAGGATCTAATCCCAAAGCTGCATTTCCTCCAAAATATGTTACATAGAGGCGATCTTTAGATAACTTGAATACTTCAGTTAATAACTCCCATGACCACTGACATATTTCTTTCTGTTAAAGATAGTTTTCGAATGTTACTAAAAACTGCATAATATATTAAAATGTTTAAAAAAATTTGAAACATACATAACAAGATAGTTTAGTAGCCAAATGCTTGTAACTAGGATATTTTGTTTTTATAAACAGAAAAATAAAAATTACTTATCAGAAATGGTAATTGGATCCTTTTTAATCATAATATCATTTTGTCAGAATTAGCCCTTTGTACTCTGAGTACAATAAAATGATATTTAAACTAATTTTAGAAATACACAGCACAATGTTTTCACATATACAATTATAAAATAATGTGGTTATAAAATATTATGATATAAAAACTTTTAGAGTAAAGACTCATGATGCACCATCAGACGGGACATAATTTAAAAAATTTATTAATTTTAAAATATTTTATTACCTCTTAAACATTTTAATATTGTGGTACTTATCAGTTACAAGGACTAGAAAATCAAGTTCACCAACATAAAAGAATAACACAAGTTTCTAGTTTAGACAGGTTTTCTAATCATACACAGGTATATCAAAAATAAAGTTGTTATAATCAATCAGGATGCATAGCCAGATTTTTCAACAAAAAAAGCACTTCTTAAGCAATCGAAAATATTTTTAATCACTTTCCAAAAGTAAAAAATTCATAATTAAGATATGTGCAGTAATACAAACTTCTTTTTTCTTCTATGGTTTAAAATTCTTTATTTATAAACATAATCACAAAATATGCAAAAACATTTTCAAAAACCTTCCATATTCATGATAAAATAACTAGTTTCTAATAAATATTGCAGCAAAGATTGTGAAAAATCATGCTTTTCTTGTAATTTATGAAGATAACCAACACGACAAAGACAAAATTTCTTTTAAAAGATAGAAAATTAAGCACTTTCTACAAACCCTGAATAAAAAAAAAGCCCCTGCAAAGGCTTTTAAAAATTGTAAATCAAAAAGAAGCACTTTTTTAAAATGTTACGAACCTTGTCAATAATAATACAGATCAAATGCGAAAATCTCAATCACAACTGATAATATAAAAATTGAGAATGGTAATTTAGCGAATAATAAACACAGTAATAATTATTAAATAAATTATTGTGAATGTGTCGTTTGGATTAATAAAAAACAATATAAGCAAGTCAAATTTGAAGAATATTGATACCTTTTAACAGAATACACGTAATATTAATATTGAAAAAACGGTCAACACATGAACCTTAAGGGTACAGGGGACCTTCAAATTTGAAAAAAGTGACCAAAATTTTGATTTTGAGATTTTTATTTTTTCAGAAAATAGACGTTGTAAGCTTTCAAACAAAAAAAAAAAATTTGGAAATTGAACCCTTTTTTACTGAGATATTAGGATTTTAATTAGGCCACGCCCCTTTGTTTACATTCAGAAAACAGAAGTCAGTAGTTTGAAGCAGCCGATTTTTTTCAGTTTCGTTTTAAGCTAAAAGCTAAAGGAGCTTTATATTATTCATTTCAGAAGGGTTCTTCTGTAAATATTATAGGCAACACAGTTACTTAGCTGATTGATTGATTATTTAATGCATTCGTTTATTTTTATTGTCGATATTGCTCTTTTTTCGTTATTTCTACAACAAACAGCCTTTTTCAAAGCTATTATTCTTCTTAAATTGTTTTTGCTAGGTTTTTAATTGTTTTTGTTAGGTTTTTAATTGTTTTTATTACGTTTTTGAGTTGTTTTATTTGTTTTTATTGAATCATGGATTCTATTTCTCCCAAGTGGAGAAAACCGAAAGGTAGGATGAATAGAAAGAGGCGGGCTGGTTTTGAAAATGTAAAACTAATGGGGGCAAAGAAAGCAAGTGAAAGTGAAACTGTTGGTCATGTGAGCAATATAAGCATGAACGAAATGTGAAAAAATACAAGAAAATTAGTGACAATCAAAATTATGTAAGAGTAGAAGGACCATCCTATTGTGCGGGAGGATTTTAAAAAAAATTTCTGTATTTGACACTTCTATATTATATATATCGCACACAATTAGTTTTTACATTTGAATCAATGTTTCATTTTTCGGTTGATATATCATTCATATTTTTTAAAATAAATTAATTTCATGCTTACTAACTTTTTTATGTTATTACTTTAGTGAATTTACTTGCGTTAAATTTTGAATAAGTAAATATGCTTGCTGAGTACATTTGTGTATTTCTTTTCATAGGCACATATTTCATCCATTTCAACCTAATTTTCATCCATTTCAACCTAATAATGGAGATAAAAGTACAGATATATGCTTAATTAGTCATTTTTTAGGTATTATACACAACTAATAGTGTTATTTTAAATACATTTTAAAAATTGCTATTTTCTCAAAATGAAATTTTGACGGATTTTTGTGTTTTCGAAATGCTCCATTTTTCTCAATTTTTAGTTTTTTTGGTTGAAACTTTTTTTATGTGTACTATGTATGTATGTGATTAACACTTACTATGTTTCGTTACCTAGAACATTGACAAAATTTGTTTATAGTAAAAAAAGTTTAAGATTTTTAAAATTTTTCCAGAAATTTTCATGAGATACAAAAAAAGTGCGTTTTTTTTGAGCTAGAGATATAATTAGCCACTGGTAACTAAGTAACTTTTATTTGGAAATAAAAAACGAGTCATATAAAAAAAAAAGTATGATTCTGCGGTGAATTTTAAGCTTTGTGGAGTGTTTTGATTTTATGCTATTTTAAAATTTTAAAAGTTCAATAACTTTAAAAATTATAAATCAAATTACATGAAATTTTGTATACAGCTTTTTAAAGATATTATAAGTAAATACCGAGAGTTTCATAAATGTAGCATAAAAACTCTGAAAGTTGGTTTTTAAGGTCCCCTGTACCCTTAA